ATATTTTTTTAAATTAACATTTTGAGTATATACAGGGTGCAAGAGTGATAATAAGTTTTTTCCCGGAAATTTAAAACTATAGCCACATCTTCTCTTAACATTTTGTTTTTTGATTCACCGCGTTATCTTTATTTTTAAATGAAATATACAGTTAAAGATTAAAGAACTCCAGTTTAATACAAAAATGTAAAAAGAACGATTGTAACAATAACAACAAAAATATTAACAAAATCAATAAAACCAACATTAAAGAATATCAATATCGCGTATTTCTGCCTCTACTTCTAATTACAGCTTCACATCGACGGCTCACACTCGAAACCCGATGTCTAATCTCGTCTTGATCAATGACATTTCATATTTCTCGTAGCATATTTGCTACGTCATCAAGGGAGGCAGGCAAGGAATCATGATTTCTTAGTCGTCTACCCATATTATCCCACAAATGCTCGATGGTGTTGAGATCCGGACTATTTGCAGGCCAGTCTAAAGTTTTAACACCCACCCCATGTAAGTACTCTTGCACTATACAGGGTGGTCCAGGATTAATCTGAAAAATTTTAATGATCGATAGAGCCTGAAAAAACAATAAAAACAAACCCAAAAACATTTTTCAAAAATGCATACTAACGGAGATATAGGTAGTCCTTCAAAATAATTTTTAAACCATTAAACCGATTCTTCTCAAATTTTGTGTAGGTTAAGCTTCCGTCGATAATATAATGAAAATTTTCTATAAAAGGCCCAGTGGCGGAGATTTTGGGAGGGGTTTCCCCTTTTTACCCTCATATTTTCGACGCCACTGGATTTTATTAGAAAATCATCAGATTTATTTTTATCCTTTTTCAATCTAAAAGCAAAACTTTTAGGTTTATTTTTTATCAGATCAACGGAGATATTTCAGTTTAAAATTTCAAAAACACTGTGTACACGGAACTTTTGTTATTATTTTAGTAATAAAAAATTATTTTTTTTCTGAACGATTGTATTGGGCCAATAAAAATTTACCAATGAAATTATGGAATAATCACTTTCAATAGGTTTGTTTTTGGGTTGGTTTGATTTTGTATTATAATACAATTAAATTATTAATTACAGACGTTGATTGTAATCCTCAATCAACGTTACAATAAAACAACCTAAAAATATGACGGGATCAGTAACAACTGCACGATGACGCTAGTTTATTTTTATATTATTTTATAAACTGATAACGTGGCATAATTGTTACCAAGTTACCGATTTAAAATAAAATATGATAAAATTCCGTGTACTCGGTGTTTTTGAAATTTTAAAGTCTCCGAAAACAATTATCTTATGAAAATTTAACACACAAGTTTTGCTTCTAAATTGAATAAGAAATCTGATGATTTTCCAATAAAATCCAGTGGTGTCGAAATATGGGGGTAAAAAGGGGAAACCCCCACAAAATATCCGCCGCTGGGCCTTTTGTAATATATTTTACCTAGGTACACAAAATTTGAGCAGAATTTATTTAAAAAAAAAACGTTTTTTTGCCTTTGAAGGGCTATTAGTGTGTTAGTGTGTACTTTTAAAAAATGTTTTTGGGTTTGTTTTTATTGTTTTTTCAGGCTCTATCAATCATTAAAATTTTTCAGATTAATCCTGGACCACCCTGTATAGCATTATCCTGCATCAGTAAAAAATTATTACCGGGCGAAAGGGACCGGGACTCAAAATGTTAATTTAAAAAAATATTTTAATAAACGCATTATTACCGAAGAATAAACCTACAATTTATTATAAAAATAACTAAATTAGGTTTGACGGTTATATATGTATATACTCAAAACTTAAATTTAAAAGAATTTTTTAATAAAGGCATCATAACCAAAGAATAAACCTCAATTTTAAAACAAAAATTACCAAATTCGGTTTGACGGTTCGCGAGAAAATCAACTTTGAAAATGTGACAAACTTTTAGTAGTGCGTTAAATTTGACGCGAAGTGTAGTTAATTAAAATATTTTTTTTTTCTCATATTTAACGATGGGGGCGAGTGTTTTTGTGAATGAATAATTGCTTGTAGACCTATTAACAATGTTTTTACAGATTTTAAAACAAAAAAAAAATTGAATGAATTATTTGTTAACTAAGCTATATTTGCTAATAAATATATATTTTTTAAATATTATGAAAATTTTTTTGAAATCGGGACAACATTATTTATTAGAATAATCATTAAGAGTCCACCAAAAAAAAATTCAACCATTTTCATTCAAATTTGTATGAAATATGCCTACTTGTTTATAGCAATGCATTTGAGATGCGTGATTTTTCTAAATTAAACAATTGCGTTGAGCGACCTCTAAATTTTAATTGATTTCTCTCAAATTTTTACAGATTTTTATTTTCTTGATACTCTTTGAAAACCCGAGTGGTCTCGCATAGAATTCAAAAAAAAATTTTTTTTGCATCACCCTAATCCACAGCCCAGCTAAAAGATAAATACATAATAATTTTATTCATGATTATTGGAGACCAATAAGTGCCTGTGATGATAAGCATAAATTGGTTTAAATCGACTCACTCAAACATAGCCTTTTTAAACCATGAAATGGCTGAAAGTCAGGTGGGCATATTGTGTATTTTGCTTATAGTTGGGCTGTACATACAGCCACAGCCCTGTTAAAAGCAAAATACACAATAATTTTATTAATGGTTATTGGAGGCTAATAAGTGCATGTGATGATAAGCATAAATTGGTTTAAATCGACTCACTCAAACATAGCCTTTTTAAACCATGAAATGGCTGAAAATAGTGATTTTTCGAAAACATGGATTTTTATTATATTTTTTTGAACTCTTAGCCAATATTATTTGAAAATGTTTTCATTGCTTTTATATAGAGTAAGATCTATGGAAACAAACTACATTAAAAAAATTTTGCTGGCAAGTTGTTCTAAGAATATATGAATTTATAAAATTAGACAATTTTGCCAAAAAATTGCATTTTTAAAAAAAAACCCAAAGACCATTTAGGGCATCAATAACTAAATGTGTCCTATATGGTTTAAAAGAGAAATATTTTCTTAACAATTAACAGTTTGTTTAATGTCGATAGCTTTATTAGCAAAAAAAGTACAATTTTTTTAAGTTAGGTCTGCATAGTAACTTTTGCGTAGCCCTGTATAAATAGGTGATGGGGGGAGAAAAGAAAAGGGGAGTTTTTTTTACTTCTTGGGTCCATGTCTATTTACAGTTAAAAAAGAAATAAAATTAGAGTATATGAGGTGCACTCATTGGTGGCTAATAAATGGAATTACTAACTAGCAACTGTATTAATGTTTGTTTAGTGTATTTTATTATTTTTTCGCAAAATTGAATTTAATTATTACCTGTTACAGTTAATTATCGTTATATTGTTATAGTTAAATAGTTTAGTAACTTATTGTTTTTCTAATTAACACATTGAGTAATATTTACATTTTTATAAAAATAATTTATGCAGACTAAAAATTCAGGTAAGTGTAAGTCCTTTATATTTAAGGAATTGGCAAGATAAATTAATTTTAGTGGAAAAATAGTGGTGGAAACAATCCATTAATTCACTGTGATTATATTAAATCTGAATTCTTATTCCTGAGGTCTTGGGTTTGATTTTCACCCAAGAGCATTGTTAAGATATATTGAATTGTTTAATTCTGCTATTTTTTGTTTAACATTATGCCAACCGATATGATGTAATCGTTAATTGAACATTTTATCAACGGTGTTATAGTCAGCAGGTTTCTGATTTCTGATCCCTATATAATATAGGCTATATTTATGGGTTTGATTTCCCCTTAGGCAGTGGCGTAATTATAACCGCTGGGGCCCGTGGCAAATTCTTCAGATGGGGCCCCCCTCAATTTAAAGAAGTTCAATGTTGCTTATGCCCTCCTATGCTCGCGTTCTTTGGCCGGGGGCCCGTGGCATTTTGCCCGTTCTGCCACCCTGTAGATACGCCACTGCACATATGCATTGTTAAACTAGAGTCAATAAAAATGTTGTCAATCTTTTAATTTTTGTAATAGTTAAAAGAATTAACATTTTAAAATTTAAGTCTAAATAATTTTATTAATAGTCACCTTATAAAGTACCTACCTATTTTTCTTAAACCATGTGATTTTATTTTTTCACATACAAACATAAAGTTTTAACTTTTGTGCAAAGAAAAATATAAAATGGACAAATTCATCATCTACATAACAAAAATCAATAATATCTATGTAAGATTTTTTGTTAAATACATGTTATTTACCCATTTAGTGTTAAACTATACACTGAAGATATCCTTTGTATATAGTTACACTAAATTTAACAAAACATATTGATTTTTGTTACATGATGAATTTGTCCATTTAGTATTTTTTTATACTATATTCTATAACAGTTAAAATATTAAAATAAACTTATTAAAAATTTTAATATAGCGGGTTAATGGCTCAGCCAATACTAATTAAACTTCCTGGTTGTATGTTGGGTTTCCTATCTATGGTTTCATGCGCTTCCAGTAGAGTTGGCTTTCTACCCCTTCGGGGTTTTCTATGATTGTGTAGTAAAGTTCCTATGATGGTCATTTTGACTCAACATTTTTGAGTTAGGAATCTATAGACAGGATTTAGAGAGCACGGTCGCTCCTTAATTACAATTATTTAAGTTATAATAAAAACAAAATTTAATTATTATAAAAATTGTTTCTAATAGAACAAAAAATAACAATTGGAGAAAAAGGTATTGTTAACGTAACGAGTTATTTTGTAATTTTAAAAATTCTGCTTGTGGTTACTTTTTGCCCCATTATAAAGTTGGTTGTAACATATAATGATATCCAATAATAAGTTACGCAAATTACAAAGTTTTAACGATGTACCTTTTCAAATGCATTTTTGCTTGAAACATAATGTCGCTTTCATAAATTATGCAACTATAACGATTTCCAAAAAACTATTAGGATGGACGTATAAATTAAATGTTTCTTTTTAAATAATTCATTTATTACTTGATTGCTGAAGTATTCATACCATAAGTTATCATTACTAAATTATAAAAGCAATATCATTAGTTTTAATAACATAACATTAATTTAAACTTACCCTTATATTGGACTTTATTAAAAACACTTGTAATGATCCTAAGCTCTGGATTAGGCGTGTCACCAATCTAAAAAATAAATAAAAATTAAATTAATAATACTCTTCTTAAATATCATTTTATATTAAAATATTTGTGTGGCATTTATTTATTATTATAATTAATAATTATAATTATTATATAATATATTATATTATATTATACATATATATGTAGGTATATAATATATACTATATATATATATATATATATATATATATTATATTATATGATTAAAACTAATTAATAAATAATAGCTGATTAATTTCTAATTTTATGGATATTATATGTATAATTTTATGGATGTTATGTATGTATACATACCAATGAAAATAATACTATTGGAATTACTTATGAGCCAGTTATTCTTTCAATATGTTTGCTGGTTTGGTTAAATTATATAAGGAAGTTTATATTTTTGTAAAAAAAATTAATTTAAAATTTGTTTGCTTTATTTAATTATAAGTAAACATGTAACATTAAAAGAATATATTTAAAGCACAAAGTTTAAAATATTTTCCTTTAATATTGTGTAAAAACGAATTTAATTTTGGAGGAAACTGTTACTTGCTTTCAAACGGTCAAGTTTTCTACAAAGAATTCCTATGAATGTAAATGTTTGTTGTTTACTTGCTACAAAGCACCTTTATCTGGAAACCACCGACCGGCATCCTTTTTCGAGCAACGTTTTTTTAATGTGGTTGTTGTTTCAATTCTTATGTAGGTTACACTTATGAATTAAAATGATTGCAAGGTTTTATTAACTTTTATTACACTGTAGGTAAATTTTTAACTTTTGAAATATCACAGCTAAAAGCTCGGACACGTAAACATAATTTTTGGTCGTAGATTCCAAATCTGTGATCGGTTTAGCTGTATCAGGTCTAAAAAAGTTTTTCCTGTCGGAAATCCGATCCGGGTCACACTGTATACTGGTATATTATAATTTGTAAAATAATATATTGCACCTCTTGTGCCAACATTCTTATGCTTTTTATTTCAATTAATATAATATCCTTAATTATACTTAATAAAAAAAATTTGTAAAACAACATTTTGATTTTCCTAAATTATTTATAAAAAACCCTCAGGGACACATGTTCCTTTTGATCAATTAACTTCAAATTTTGCAAGAATTTGTTTTTTTCTAAATTTGGAACTAATGTGTGGGTCCAGCCAAATTGATTTTTTTTAATTTATACAGTGTGTTTAAATTTATACAGGGTGTTTCCAATATCTTTGAATTTTGACCTGATACAGCTAAACCAAGCATGGATTTGTAATCTACGACCAAAAATTAAGTTTACGTGTTCGAGCGTTTAGCTGTGATATTTTCACCTCCCTATAGTGTTATTTAGTTATTTTTATGAAATTTCGGTAAATTCGGTAAAATGAATGGATGAATTTTACGTTATTATTATTATTATTATTTTTAGTAAGCATGTTTATTTTAACCTAAATAGGGGTCTATTCTGTAACTTTTCCTTTAAATTTTAAAGCCCTTTTAAATTTTTAATTTTAAAGGCCGGCTAAAATAAATAAAGGAAAATGCTATTCTGTAAGCAATTATTTTAGAGGTCCTTTAAAAAATTAAATTTTAAAGGAATCCTTTAAAACTTAAAGCCATACATTTGGCAGCACAGCGTTTAAAGTGATTTGATCTATTTGTAGTTCAACTGTCAACGTTTTGTCAGATTCTGCGCATTTTCTCTTATAGGTATTTTAAATTTAAAATCACAATTGTGTTTGCTTTATTATTATGTTTTTAATCATTGCGATCATTTTTCACATCCTCTGTGTTTATCTCTAAACAATTAAAATGAGTCGGGCAGCACGTACCACGAAAAAACAAAAAGAGTTTTTAATTAACTTTTTGGAAGAAAACAAAATTCTCCTGGGTGTAAAATTTAACCCTATGCATTTCCAAGAGTAAATAAAACATGGGAAAATCTCACTTACCACTTAAATAATATAGGGCCAACAAAAACCATAAGGCAATGGAAAGATGTAAGTATTATAAATTTATAATTATACAGTTGATATACAATTGAATCGTTTATTGTTAAAACAAGCCTGACTTTTTGCAAACTTTTCAGTTCTTCATATTCCAGCTTAAATTAATTCTTTAAACCTATTCATTAATATAAATTAGGTATAAAGAATGTCAATTTAAGCTAGAATATGAAGAACTGAAAAGTTTGCAAAAAGTCAGGCTTGTTTTAACAATAAACGATTTAATTGTATATCAACTGTATAATTATAAATTTATAATACCTACTTACATCTTTCCATTGCCTCATGGTTTTTGTTGGCCCTATAATATATATATTATTTAAGTGGTAAGTGAGGTTTTCCCATGTTTTATTTACTCTTGGTAAATGCATAGGGTTAAATTTTCCACCCAGGAGAATTCTGTTTTCTTCCAAAAAGTTCACCAACAACATCAAAAAACGCTATTTTTATATCCTTTAAAAAATAAAGTGACATTTTATCACCCCTTTAAAATCATCGTTTTAACGGGCCACTTTAAAGGATTCCTTTAAAAAAATAAAGGAAAACTAGTTTGGTGAATAGCAACATAATTTTAACTGCCGTTAAGATTTTAAAGGCCTTTAAAATTTAAAGGAAAAGTTACAGATTAGACCCCTATGATTTTAAATTAAGTATACACTGGGTGGTAACTTACCACTGGTAAGAAGATAAGGACGTTATATTATAGGATTAAAACCATAACAAATCACATTGTGGTTGGTTGGTTGATAATTTAGGAGGATAATTCAGGATCTGGTTGGTTAGTTGGGTTGGGTTGGTTGATTGAGTTAAACCATTGACTTCTTCACTCAACGGTTAAACTGTTAATGGTTCATAAAAGGCAACAAACTTCGGACTGGTGTGCAAGAAGATGATAATTAAAATTATTAACATTAACAATCACCGGTGTAAGTTACAATTAATAATATTTTACGAAATATTTGGGACACTAAATAAATGTCAACATTGAGTAGTGAAAAATCAACGTAATTTCGGTCATTACATTTGGTCCCTAAATTTACAAAGTGACGTATCTAAGACTTTGTGTTATGCAAAAATAATTTTCTGGAATAAACGTTTAGTATATTAAAGGTTTATTCCAGAAAATTGTTTTTTTTTTCATAACAAAAATCTTCTTTTCTGCATAACATCTTCAGATACGCAAAAAAGCAATTTTCTAAAATAAATGTTTATTATACTAAACTGGATTCCACTTTTTTGTATAACACAAATCTTTAGATACGCCACTTAGGGCCGGTTTATCAATCTTTGGTTAAGTTCCAGTTAGTCTATCTGGCAGTTAAATTCTATATCGATCGTTGTGAGAATGGTATCCATGGAGATTATCTGCTAGATAACTAACTGCAACTTTAACTGGACATTGATAAACCGGCCCTTAGTGAATTTATATATAGTCATTAATTTCTTAACAAAACACAGACACGCTGCGGCTCTGGCATTTAGCAATTCTATCCCATTTTATTCTATTCTATTCTATTTTGTTCCATTCTAAATTGAGGACGCATGGTAAAACACTTGCCGATTAACGGTTTTTGACATTTTAAATTAATGAAAATTGATGATCATTGCGTCGACGCAAGGAAAAACATTTCCTTATTCGCCATATTTTTCAGAGTTTGTCCCCTAGCTACTTTTATCTGTCTTCGAAAGGGGAGCTTCTGAAAAAAATGATTATCTTTAACAATTATGTTACATTGGGCCCTAAAGAGTATATTATGAAGTTAGACAAAAAGTATTTTTGTACAAACGTTGAAAAAATTGTAATATTTTGCAATGGAACCGTGAATCGTAGAGCAACGCGATTATTACTTGCATTTTACAAAAACAATAATTTGGGTTTTGAACATTTTTAAAAGAAACTTTAAATATAATGTTTTTGTAGGAAACACAAATCCATTCCAATAGTAAAACGGTTTCGGTACACAATAGCACACCTTACAAATAAATATAATACACCATTTAAGTATATATATTTGTATTAACTAAACTCTCTAAAATACATGTTTATAACCCTGGTTAAATTTAACAAACTTTGCTCAAGATTCTCAACTTTCAAAACTGTATATAAATTATATTATATTAATATGTGTTTATAAATTGCAAATTGTCACTAAACAAACATTTTCAAATTAAATTTCTGTTTAATGGATTGCATGTAAAATTTTTCTAAAAAAATATGTAAATCTTGCAACATTGCTTTAAATCTAAAAACTGACTTTAAAGTGACATTATAACTGCTTGACCGTGAAAGCAAATATTTTCAAATTTGAATAAATTTCAAATAATTAGTGCAATAATTAAGGAACTGTTATTGTAATTATGTAAATTTTTAAATAAAAAAAATATTTTTTTGACATTAATTACTAGTCCTAATGTTAAAAAAAGGACCCGAATGTTTAAAGCAACCATCCAGTGCTTCAAACATAAATACGATAAAAGGGGAGGCTGTCACGATATAATTATTGTTCTGGTAAAATGCGCGTGCCCAAAGAAGCGCGTTGTTGCTAATAAAAAAGGTCTTATCTACAATAATTTGACTCCCACTACGAGCGCCTGTCAAACAAAGTTGTCACCACTGTGGTTGTCACACCCTTTTTGAACATCCTGTACAATGTACGAGTACATAATATGTACCTATATAATCTATATTATAGATATATTAAATAGGTACTAAAAGTTGCTATATGTTTTTCAATTCTTATATCCAAAAAAGGAATTAGGTACCTATATATACTGTATACATACCAGTGGCGGCCGGTGATCTACGCGAAGGGTAGGAGTGCAGGTTTATTTTTCACTTTGTTCATAAGTGCAACAAGAGCGACGGAGTAAAAAGATGCGCGTGCCTCACCTGCGCGTAGACCACTATTACATACCTATTTCAATTTATACACAAATGATAGGAGTCTTATACTAAACTAAAAAGTTTTACGCCACTATTATAATATTTTAAATATAATTTGAACATTTTAAAGTTG